AGGCAGGTTGGCTCAGGCTTGCTAACCATAACTGGCAAAACACTCTGGCGCTGGAGTGTTGTCCACAGCCCACTTAAGTACTGGTCTCCTGATGAGCAGATGAGGAACAGCTGGTGAAGTCAGCTCCAGCTTCAGGAGATCCAGTACGCCCTCTGGTGGGGAAAGGTAGACATAACCCCAGATCCCAACAGAAGCACAACCCCCCAGGAAGGGATCCTCAGCGCCCTCTGGTGGGCAAGCCTCAGGATCCCAACAGCAGCATGCTCAAAATGATGCTTTTTTTATTTAGCTGGATTTTTTTTATCTGTTTTCTACTTTTATTTTGTCAAAATGTTCCTCTCTTTTAAGTTTCTTTTTTTTTAAGGATAATTGGGCATCATTTGGTTAAAAATACTATTTGCGTATTATACACAATTGATAGCAAGATATTTTCTAGACAACAGCAGTTGTACCACAGACTTGTACCAATATTGAGAACAATGGCTACAATGGTCATACTTCTCTCATTTCCAAGAGTTTATTTGTTTCTTTTTAGAGGAAAACAAAAATCACATGTAAACAGCTCAACCCTGTTTAGATCTCTTATTGCTGTGTTCCTGTTTCACCCTCTTTAAGACCTTCCTTTGTATTATTCGGTTCTTTAATTTTACTCTGCACTAACAGCCACATTGAAAATATTGCCACAGTGTCTGATATCACAATCACTCCAGGGTTCTTGCTATATTAGGTTCTTGTAAAAAAAAATATCCAAACAAGGTGGTCAAAAAATGAAAAGCAACTTCAATGGTAATGCACTAGTCAATGTCAGCAAAATTTTGAGATTAAGCCCTGACTGTTTCTTTCTTTTTTGTTTTGAATTTCTTAGAAACAAGTTGGTGAAAGTGAGATCAGATAACCTAATCCTGAGGTCTTATGTGTGGGATACCTAACAGGAATCTTCTTGTATACCTGTATTATTGCATATATTGGTTTGGCACTCCAAATATGTGAAACGAGAGTGCATCCTAGTCAAACAGTTGGTGAACCTCTTCTTATTCGGTTCCCATTCTGAGGGGGAGGTGAACAAAAAAAAGGAAGCAGCCATGGATGCATTTAAAATGGAAGACAATAAAATGATTTTTCCAGATAGTTAATATACTGCTTATTTTCTTGAGCCAAATATGTTTGCTTCTCCAATCCACTGACCAATAACTCAGATTCAATGATTTTTTGTTTATCAGCCAAGCTGTCAGCCAAGCCACTGACTATCTTGAAAACAAGTGATCTTTTTATGCTTTTATGCATGGAATAATCGGAAGATGGATATATAATACTGTGGTTTCAGAGTATTTACTAAAAATGTAAACATAACCTAAAGGTCTTTAATATAAAATAAGGGAAAAGCAGCTATTTTGACAGTTTAACACACCTCTCTGCAGCTTCTCTACTGTTACCCAGTCATTGCGCCGTCCAGACAGTGTCTTCCCTATGACCAAAAACAGAATCAGAAGGTGTAAATCATGATGATCTAATTAAAAGGAAAATGAGTCCAATTGAGGAAAGAGTTAAAACAATTAAATGTGGTTTATTTAACATAAGATCTCTTTTTTCAGTTTTAGTCCGTGAGGCAGACACCCTGTCTACTTTTAAGGCTAGGCTTAAAACTTTCCTTTTTGATAAAGCTTCTAGTTAGAGTGGCTCAGGTTNAGTCCTGGTTTAAAAGTAAATTAATTTTAAAAAGTGACCCAAAATTGACTGTCAATAAATGTTCTACAAAATTGATAAATTTATTTGATTTCTTTGATTTGTACTGTCTGTTTAGATTTGATATTTTTTGCACAAAATATAATATATATAAGTGAATAAATATATATAAGTGAATATTGTAACAGTTATGTTTTCAACTGTAAGCATTAAATTGATAAATGTTATTCGCATTTTTTTGGCTTTATCCTTTCCAACAAAAAAAAAAAAGGCGTCGCGCAGGTAGCTCCCTTTCCTTATGAGCCGTCCCCACCAACTTTCAACACAAAGTTACACCCTTGTCTTAGACAACGCCTTAGCAGGTGCACTGAAAAAATTTGGCGCGCGCTATGCGCATTATCTTCTGGGGGCTTAGCCACCCTTGTCTCTTAAACCTAGAGACGCCCCTGGTGCCTGGGTTGTAAAATCCCAATTTCCCCTCCAGTATGCTTGCTGGGTGACTTTGAGGGAAGCTCTATGGGAAAAAAATCAGTTTGCGTGGCCTCCACTGCATTATGTATCGCAAAGAAAACTATCCTCATGAATTGGAAAAGTAAGGATAACCTCAACATCAATCAGTACAGAGATCTGTTTTTGGATCATATTAATCTTGAGACAGCATCTGCATCCCCATCAGACAGATTTCTCTGGGCTCCCTTGATCGGGTCCATCACTTAGTGTGGTGGGGGGCTGTGGGGTGCGTCTTATGGGGCGCTGGGGCTAGTTCGGGGGTTCGGGGGGTGCTCGGAGCAGGGTGCCTGGCGGGTGTGGCCCGGGGGAGTGTTGCCCCCATCGGGGCGGAGTCTGGGGCGCCTCGGGGGGTTCCTGCAGCGGCCGCGTGCGGTGCTCTTGGGGGGTTCCGTGGTGGCGGTCGTGGGCTACTGGCCTGGTAGCTGTGCTGCTGCTGGGTAGGGCCGGGCGCCGGGCATCGGTTCTTTTATGGTCCTGGCCGCGGTGCTTCTGCTCTGCGGGGTGTAGGGGCGTGCCTCGTCTTTCGGTGCTGGGTTTCGGTGGTTGGCCGTGGCGCTTGCCGTGGTTGCGTCATTCGGGGGGGTACGTGGATGGTCGCGCCTGTGGCCGGGGTTCGCGGCCGTCCTCCTCTCGGCGGCCAGTGGGCGATGCAGGGCCGGAGCGCGGTGGGTCGTGCTGCTTTCGCGCCGGGTCGCGTCTGCTGCTTTCTTTTTGCTGCTTGTGCCGGCTTCTGGCGGCTGGGGTGGCCTTGCTGCTCTGGCTCTCTGGCGTGCGCCGGGCGGGGCTGCTCTATCCTTTGTTTTGCCTTGCGGCTGTATTTGCTGTGGTCGGTGGGGGCGGAGTGGTTTCATTGTGT